TCCACTAAGAGCTGCTATCTGTATCTCTTATCTGAGAACATGGTTCCACCGCATTGTGTGGGAAAGTTTTTCCCAGTGTACGGTTCACTTGATTGGCCATCCACGTGGCGCTCGCTGACCTTTTTTGATTTCGATCGTCAAGTCACCGATCTATGTTGGAAGATTGCGCACGGCGTCTTATACACCGCACAGCGTCTTGTTTCTTTTGGATTGCCAGTTCCCCATTCTTGTTTTTTTTGTTCTTTTTCTGCCCCCTTGCCCAGAGTGTTCTCTCCTGGCTCCAGTCTCTGTTGTTCAGTTTTTCTTTCATGTGTCCTGCTCTTCTTTGTCGGCATGTTCTCTTCGGCTTCAGCTCTGACGAGCTGATTGTCACTCCCCGGGTCTTTGTGTATTTGTTGAACCTTTGTAAATATTTCATCTGGCAATCCCGTAATGACCTCCGTTTTCGTGCTGTTCGTCCTGGCGCTGCTGCGGTGATCGCTAGGGTAAAGTCTCGTTTGAGATTCCATCTGCCCATCTTTTTCAAGCGATTTCAGTCTGCCCGCCGTCGTCGCTTCTTCCACCGTCAGTGGGGTGCCCGTGGAGTCGTTGCCTCCGTCTTGGGTGGTCATCTTTCCCTTGCCCTTTAACCGGTTTTCCCCGCGCGCTGCATGGCCCTTATCTAGGCATTGTGTTTTGTCTGTTTGTGTTCTGTGTTGCATGGCCCCTAATCTGGGCATTTTGTTTGTTTTGTTCTGTGTCCTCCTGTGCTGGGTCTCCTTGATTGGTGTACTGCACGGAGGTTTCTGCTGCATGGCCCTAATCTGGGCATTGTGTTCGATTTGTTCTTGTTCTGTGCCCTCTTGTGCTGGGTCTCCTTTATTGGTGTACTGCACGGAGGTTTTTTGTGATGCATGGCCCTAATCTGGGCGGTCTGTGTTGTATCCGGCGGTGTGACCCCCTGCACTGGGTCTCCTTCACTGGTGTACTGTGAGAGGGTCCTTGTGTCAGTAGTGTGTGTTTCGTTTTGTGTCTCTGTGGTTTGTGAGGGAGTGTGTTCAATTTTTGGAGTGTGTGTGTTAATTTTGGCCAGGTGGGGTTCGATTCCCCGACGAAGTTGGTGTCTGGTGGCCCTCGGTTTATGGTGGACCCAACCCTAAGGCATTGCACTTTCAGCCATGGGTTGGATTAGGTCTGTAGATCGGCAGGCATTGCACCGCCCTCACGGGAGCCTGGCCGTTCACCTTAAATATAAAAAAAACTCTGGGAAGATGCACGAGATATTAAAGGAGCAAAAACTTCTTTTTTACTGGTATGCCTTTCCTAATTTTGGGAAGGAAAGTGTTCAACTGCCAGCACAGCATAGATAGAACAGCTGGAGAGAAAAAGAAACGAAAAGATGCAGAAGAAGTACTGTAAATAATATTTTCTTTTTATCTGCGACCTTTGTATTACTCCTGTCATCTATGGCTTGTTAATCCGAAAGGTCAAATACACATATGAGTGGGTCATATGACAATGATCTCAGAATACTTTTACAACAAACGTAATAACAGTTCAATCTCGGCTAAATTAAAGATGGGTTAGAAGTTAACAATTATAAGAACCTTTCACTAACGTATGCTGCTGACAAAAATGAAAAAGTACGCAATTCTGCATTCAAGACACAAGGAAGTTTGACTGCAAAGCACAGATAAAAATGCGAGAAATTTTATTTTTTTCAGAGAACAAGGTAGTTCTACTCATGTATAAACAGACCAAATCTGGTTTGATCCATCAGATATGTGATATAATTCCTTTTTCTTCCATCCCCACTCAAAACAAGCAAACACACCTATGGAGGTTCCAGTCTGGTCTGCAAATGAAAAGGAGGAAGGTGATCACTGCAAAATTAAGCATTAGGGTTCTTATTTATAACATATTGATTATTGCATACTGATATCAAGAAATAAAGGTTGCAAGTAGCAGCTAGCTGAGTTATAGTTTAAGTTTTATCAAGTCCATTACCTTGTTTTATTTAGAGTTACATTGTCTTGAGAGAGGGAAATTGAGGAGCTGTTATATACTTATCATCAATTAGGGACCACAAAGAAAAATTTGTTTATAGAGACTTTTGGAGGAGGGGTGTAAGACTTGTGACAAGCTGGCAGACATATAGATGAACTTTACTGCTGAATGGGTTACAATATAAAGTGCTCAGTATTTGTATCAGCTATGGCTCAACTTAAACTTTGCTTTAGCTTCAAAGTTAATCCTTTGTGGTTTCCTTTCTCTGTGTTTATTTTTCAAGTTATGTTGTACAAAAGAACAAAAAAATGATAAGGAATGCTTTTGAATATTAAGAAGCTGGAATAAGCAAGAAACCAAAACTGTATTCTAAACAGTACAAAGTTAATTTGATCTTCCAATGTTATTTAATTTTAACCTAATAGAATTTGCTATTTAAATTTATCCCCTCATTGTTTTAGATATTGTGAGCAAAAACAAGCAAACAAACATTCAGTAACAAATGTCCTCTATTGTGGTCAATTATCACTAAATACATGGTATACAATGGTTTGATTCACCAATGTGGCAAAGGCCTTTCACTGTCTATCCATAAAAGGGGAAATAATTTGTAAAATGTAAGCCATTCTACATCTTGAGTGTATACTTATTCATCCATATGAAATTAAAGGTAACTCCTAATAAATGTGAAAGATTTATAAAATTTTCAGACCCCTGATAACAATTACTGATGTGCTGATTTGTAGTGCTTAAAGGTTATGAATTTAGTGGAAATAGTGGAAGAAATTTCTGGATCGGAATTTTGTTGCAAATATCTGTTAAAGTCGGTTAAAAACTCCTCCTTATCCTTTTTCAAGAATACATGGCCACACCAGAACCTTTTGTGTTCTATATCGTGCACCATGTTATGATTATGGTTTCAATAATGAAAGGTGCTGCCTTAAGAACTTTGCTAAGGTATCTCTGTACAAAGAAATAGATTGTGGTTATTTACTCTAAATAGCAGGTCAAACTAGTCTTCTGTAAGGGAGGTAGCAGAAATTGCCATTGTGATTTTGGTGGATGAAGAGAAACTGTCAAGATATTTTAGCTGTATTGAGTGTCATTTAGTAAGATAAGTGATTAGCGTTATGAATTAATCCGCCCATATATCGTCGTTGTCTAGGATTTAGGGTGTGTCGCACGTCAGTGATAAAAAGAATATCGGTATGTGATCAAAAACAGTGAATAATGCATATCTGAAACTGAAACGATCGTATGTGGAGTACCTCAAGGCTCTGTACTTGGACCCTTGTTATTTTTGTTATATATTAATGACATCCATAAATCTTCCAAGGAATTTACTTTTTATCTTTTCGCAGACGATACAAGTCTAACTTATGCAAATGACAACTTATGTACTCTTGAACTAACTGTCAATAATGAACTTGAGAAAGTATGCGAATGGCTTAATGCTAACAAACTAACGCTCAACGTCAAAAAGTCTAATTATATCATTTTTTGTCCCCACCAAAAAAGAATGCCTTTCATTCCTCAAATTAAGATTTTTAATCCAACTTTAAATACTAGAGTAACTCTAGAGATGAAGGACTTTGTTAAATATTTGGGTATAATGATTGATTCTGAACTATCATGGAAGCATCATATTGACTTTATCTGTCACAAAATTAGAAGATCGGTTGGAATAATTGCTAAAATGAGGCATTACATTCCACGGCGTCTTCTTTTGAATTTATATCATGCACTTATTTCTCCTTATTTAAATTATGGTATCTGTGCATGGGGCAACTGTCCACAGACCAACCTCAATAAGATACTTGTTCTGCAAAAACGTGCTCTGCGTTTGATTTATTTTTCTAAACCCAGAGACCATGCAATCCCTTTTTTTATTGAATCAAACTGCCTTCCTTTGCAGTCTTTGTTCTTTCAACAGTTAAGCTATTTAATGTATGACGTTCATGCTAAGACAGCTCCTAGAAGTCTTCTCGATAAGTTTGCGAAAATCAATACAGAACATCATTATAAAACGCAATTATCTGCAAAAGAATGCTTCTCTGTCAAATTCTCTAGAACTGAAAAAATGAAAAAATCTTTTACTAGAATCGGTGTGTCTATTTGGAATTCTAATCCACTTTCTGTTAAGACTCTCAACGTTTCTAATTTTCGTAAAAAAATTAAATCACTACTCCTTAATGTTCTAGGTAATGAAGATAATTATTTGAATGTTAATTTTTTTAATAGAATATTTTGTGAAGTTAACCTGATATATTGTATATACCTCTAGTTGTAATTTTAGTCTTTTGAAATAACAAAATCCCTTGTACTTGAATTTATATGTAAGGTGTTTCTTTCTGTATGTTTTTGTATTTCTTCTTTTCTTTTTTCTTATGTAATTTAATAACGCCTTTAGTTGAAGTCTTGTCCTGCCTAGATTAGCATTGTAGCTATTTGCAGGACATGAATTTTTGTAAACCTTATTTCTTTAAATAAAGAGTGTGTCTTTCTTCTTTAATAAACCGTGAAGTTTGCGAAGAACTGCTTGGTGTTTTGGCATTCGCAACAAAACATCCACCAAAACCACTTTATTTTAAGTGTTATTATTTCATCATGAACGTTTGATCGGTCAGCAATTGTGTATCATAAAAAATAATTAGCCAGAGCACTGACTTCTAATGCTTTGTGGAATATATAGCATTTTCCTCCCTGCAGATCTAACAGTGGCAAGAGATAAAATAAAAAAAAAATGTTGTTGATGGATTCGGTCAGTGTTTAGGTGGATATCCACTCCTAAATTACGCAAAATTTTTTATAATACTACAATCGAAAAATATATTAACACTTACCATTTCTTGAGTAAAAAGTTTTGAAAAACGAATATTACACTCAGGTCGTCGGGATAAATCGACATGTTATCGCAGTTTCATAATTTTCACTTGATATAACATGTCATGAGGTGTCCGTCATTCCATCTCAGTCTCTCTCGACCGAGGTGATTTTAGACACTATCACTGGACTGGCACTAAACAGGCAGGAACATCGATCACTACAGGTACCCGTTGGCAATTGTGGTTGTGAATAATGGTACCTGCGCTAGTGTATAGGTAGTCGAATTTGGATGAAGAGTTGACACGCTGTTTGGGTAGCGGCTCATTCTGGAGCGGAATAGCCCTTTGAAGCAAGCATGCAAAATGGTTTGTGTGACATAGTTTGGGTTTGAGGACAGGATGTCGTCATGCGTCCAAACTGGAACTTTTCGCTTTGATTCTCTCAGTGTCATGGCTACCGTAAGCTATTTCCTCTCGAGGTGTTGTTTTCATTTTCAAGTTGTGGAAGATGCCAAAGAGAAGCAGATATGGAGCTCAATGTGGCGTGTCGTGGCAGCTGGTCATAGATCTTCGCATAGATCTTTATTTCTTAACAAAAATACATCCTCGCCTTCTGTTGGTTGCCATTTTTAAACATTCCGACAATACACAAGATAGGTGTAACAAGTCAAAGAAAGTAACCCTTTCGTTGAAAAATGTTGCCATTAAGTTTAAAAAAAGACGAAATTAAGGACGAAAAAATGATGACGATTGACGCTAGTTGCCAGTCCCCACACCAAATTTATAGTCGCAGGGAAGCCTGGAGGATTTTGCCGGGTATTCGTAAGTGCGATTCGATGCAGTATGACGGTGAAGCTAAGTTAACGTGTTCAAGGTAGTCAGCAACAAACATCTCCTGGTGAACATGAGCAATTTATCGCCTCAGTTTAAACGGGCTGAACTTTTAAAAGGTGGCGGAGTGGACAAAGAGTACCTTCTGCACAATTTCGTAGAAGCGAAGCAGAAGGTAAACGCTAATTTCAGAGACTTCAAGAAGTATCTTGAAGACTGTCACGAATTCTTAGCTGATTTCAGAAAAGCTGATGAAAATGAACAAGACATCAAGAAATTCTCAAGCAAGGTAAGATTGTATGTCGCGTTCAAGCTCCATGATATTGGTGAGAATTTTTAAGTTAAATCAGCGTTGTTTTTTAATGTTTTTTTTTCAATTTATTTTGCTATTACTTCAAAGCTACGCTGCACTATCACAGTCAACTTTTTGATGTAGTAATTCTTATTAAGTCAGAACTGATTACTGCATTTCTCTTACATAGGTGTCAGGCTATCTGGCTCAGGTTTCACGCATCTCAGAGGTGCTATCAAGGGACCAGATAAAGATGGCCTTCTTTGGAAGAACCAGCAACGGAAAGAGCACTACAATAAATGCCATGCTACAAGATAAGATCTTACCAACAGGGTTGGGCCATACTACAAATTGTTTTCTCAGTGTACATGGTTCAGATTTACCAGATCCATATATCTTGGTTCCAGGGAGTGATGACAAGAGGAGTGTGAAGGTATGTCCTTCTAAAAAGTATTGTAAGTTTCTCCTTTGTTATAATTACAAGTACCACATTTTCTCAATTGAAAATTGTTACAATTCTCTCTCCTAATAATTATATGTACCACATTTTCTTGATTGAGCAACCAGTGCATTTATTTCAAACTTGGCCTGGTAAACCTGGTGTTTATAAGTATCAGGACAGGGTATTAGTCTTGGATTGGTGTATCAACTTTTTTTAATATCCATATTTTAAGACTGATGGGTAGTCAATGAGAAAACATGATTTTTCTCTGTCAAACTGTCACCTAGTCTTAACAAGGATATATATTTTTCTTACAAACATTTTATGTTTAAAATATGATTTACAGTTAATAAATTGTTTTTAATTTTTATAGCCTAACAGCAGATAAAGGCCTTAACCTCGATCAATTACCCCTACTGTTTAATTCTAAACTAGCAGTTTTTCTCCGGTGTTTACATGTTTTTAACAATTAATTTCGGTTTTACATTTCATTCAGAAAATATCACTGGTACTTAAATTATCTAAAAGCAGAAAAATCTTCATGAATAGATTAAATAGTACTCCAATTGACATATGCACTGTCTTAGTTAATGAATAGTTAGTAACTATGATAATTACATATTTTTCTTTTTGTTATCAAAACAGTCATTAGATGAACTTGCCGATGCCTTGTCCAAAGAAAAGCTTGATCCTAGCAGTCTTGTTCAAGTGGTTTGGCCAAAGTCCAGGTTTGATTTTGTTTTGTAACTATTGTATCATTCACATGTACTCACAGGTAACTGTTGTCCTGTCAATCAAAGTGCATTTACCATTCAACCTTGCAAACTTTATTCATTGGTTTTAAAGGTAGAATGTTGTGCCCTTTGTTCAGGTTTATTCCAAAGAGATTAAGTTTATCGAAACTTTTTGGCTTCAAATTAATTCTGTTATTATGCATTAGACTTATGAGAGATCTGATTGGGCAAGAACATTCTATCACTATACAAGAGCAGAGGAAGTTGACATAATAACCCAGTATCTGCAGCAGACATTGCATCTATTATTTGGAGTTAAAAGTCTGCCTAGTGTCTAAGCCCTTACTCCATGAAGTGTTCTCAAACTTTTGCAGACCTAGAGAGATGTGTCTTCTTTTCCAGATTTTTTTTTTAAATTTGTAATGAAACAATTACTGAATTAATTCATTTGATATCATAAATTATTAAGTATCATGCCTTTGTAATCTGCCTCAGCCTTCAGTTTTGGTAGATGACTCAGACCTTGGTTTTGATAATTCAAGTTATCATGCTCAACTTCCTCCAGTAATTGTTTAATGAACATATAAAGTAAAGTATAAAGCTGTGTCATTGATTTTTCAATGAGTGTCTTATAAACAAAGGAAATGTACTTGTAGTGTTGAAAAGCTCTTGGATAGGCTGCCTCTTGTTTCTTAAAAATATATAAAAAACTTCCTAAACACAGTTCACATGTTCTAGATAATGCATTTCACATTAGATCAGAGGGTTTGTATAAATAAAGTTTTACCTGTACATTGTTATCACTTGTGATAGTTTCATTTTTGTTAAAACTGTATTTTTTTTTTTAACCTCAGATGTAAAATCTTGTCAGGGGATGTTGTGTTGGTGGATAGGTAAGCAAATTAAAATGGATAAAATGTACTGTATAACTAACCTTTTCACCCCTCAATTATGCATTTAGATCCCAAGAATAAAAGAAATTATCATCAGCTATAGAAGCTCTTGACTGTCAGGCAAATTGTCTTTGTCTGCACCTAAGGGAATGTAAAGAGGACAGTATAGAGAATGTGCATACTAATGTTAGGGTGTGAAGGTTTAAGAAAAACAAAGAGACAAAAAAACAAGAAAGCAATTAAAACAACAGGTTAATGAGGCATTGCTCTATTGTGACATATCTTGTGTCTTCTACACCTAGAAGAAGCCTAAAAATGCCATGTAATTAGTCACAGAAAATTGTTATTTTAGTCCTGGTACAGATGTAAGCCCTGATTATGATGGTTGGATTGATAAGCACTGTTTGGATGCTGATGTGTTTGTCCTGGTTGCTAATGCTGAATCAGCACTCACGGTTACGGTATGTTCATGGCCATTCATGTGCTATGTGTAAATTTAAGATACAACACATACAAAATTTAAATTTGATGGAACTTTTTTCAAAATTTCAGTTGCTTTAAAATGTGACTTGTTACAGGTCCATTGTGGTAGCATTCGTAGATTTAACCTTCCTATGCTTGTGGGACAGTTTCTCAATTGGTACCCTTGTCATTTGCAGGAGAAAAAATTTTTTCACAAAGTGAATCAGCATCTTTCAAGACCAAACATCTTCATTGTACATAACAGATGGGACGCATCTGCATCAGAACCAGACAAGATGGAGCTGGTTAGTAAGCACCTATTTGTCCTTGATACCCAATCAAATTTGAAATCAAAAGATGTCAAAAACTGAATCAAAACACAACATGGAGTTGCCTTTCATTTTAGATGCTCTCTTCAAAGGAAATTGTTGCTGGAAAAAAATTGCTGATGATTCATAGTGGGGGGGGGGAGAGAGGAAGGAGGGGGGGGGCTTAGTTAGAGGGGAAGGATTAAGGTATAATGATGGGTGGGATAACAAGCCATTTATCCCACCTCCCCACCTCCCCCTGGAAAACAACCTGTCTCCCCCCTCCCCCTCCCCCCTAACTATCAGATGATGGTGGTAAAGTGTGATTTTTTTTAAATTTTTTTTTTCCTGTTTCCTTAAGGTGAAAAATCAGCATCTCAGTAGAAGCATCAGTTTTCTTGTTGATGAGCTCAAGTGTGTAGACAAAGGAAAGGCAGAAGACAGAGTGTTTTTTGTCTCAGCTAAAGAGGTAAGCTGCGGGTTATTTTATATCGCAGTTTACAAGGACCAATTGCAAATAACTTTGAAAAAGTCTTCAAATTTTTGCTACTGCTATGCAAAGAGAAATATAAAACAGGACACACCTCTTAATTAATTTATTTATTTGAACCCCACTTTCTTTTCATGTTTCTGTTTTACCTAGACCTTAATGACCAGAATGCAGAAACACCAAGGAATGCCTCAAGGAGGTTTGTGGCTGATCAAAATGTGCATTCTCTTGAAACAGCATGAATTGTTAACAAGTAAGATTTTTATATTGATTCAACTAACTAGCATTGCCTTGTTGTTTTTCAGGTGGTGCCATTTATGATGAAGGATTTTTTGCTCGGCAGTTGGAGTTTGAGAACTTCGAACACAAACTGGAGGTATTTTAGCAACTGCTCTGGCTTACAATCCAGCATAGTTTTCAGATAGCCAGTTGTCTGTTAGCAGATCACTTACAAACCAAAAGGTGGCAGAAATATTTTGATGATTGCAAAGTGGAATTTAATGGCATTGTTATTCAAGGAGTACAAAATTGTTAATGGTAACTTCACACATTAAAGCTAGTTACAAGTAATTTACCACCTGTTAGACCTTTAACTGCCATCTGTTTAGCATCTAGAGGGGCCTTCTGACCCTGCCACCTTAAACACCATTGGCAGCTGCCCATGGAAAAGGTTACTGAAACCCCAGGGATTGTTGGGGTGTAAGGTCATTGGTAAGAACTCATCAAAGATTGCTACCACAGAGTCATGATGTATTTGTACATGTACTTTTTCCATTTAAAGTTAAACACATTTGCTTGTCTAGAATTTGTGTCAATTAATTATTCTCACTTCACAACATAAATTTTACATGCTTGGTGTTACAGGAGTGTATTTCTAAGTCAGTTATACAAACCAAGTTTGAATCTCATGCATTCAGTGGATTGAAAATTGCGAACACGTTAAAGGTTTTCATGAAACAAAGAGTGGATTCTGCATCTCAGCAAAGGTGAGAAAGAGACAGATAATTTTTTCAATTTGCTTAACAATAGTGATTTTAGGTAATTGTTGGTTTTGCTGAGTTCATATGGTCTATTTTGCTTAGATCTAAACTGGAGAAAGCCAAGAAGGAGCAAGAGAATAGACTGGAATATGTTAAGGAACAGCTTAGAATTTATACAAGTGACACCGAACTCCAGATCAAGGAAATCACCTCTAAAGTTCAGGGTCAGGTAATAAAATAACTACTCAAATGTTTTTTAGGAGGCACAAGTTTTATACTTGTGGTTTATTCTGTCTCGAATTATGGTAATTTTAAGTTTTTCACAAGGCAAGGTTCCAGAACAGATCAAAAAGTATGTACTAATCAATTGAATAACTTTTTTGACATGCTTTTTAAATGCTTGTCAGGTGCCTCTGATATGCATATCAAATTTACTTTAAAGTGAGTGGTAAAATCTTATCAAGAGTTTGCCTTAATTATATTGTTATAGTGCCTGAGTTCACACAGATATGCATGTAATTTGTAATAGGTATGATGCTTATAGTAGTGTTGCGGTGTAATCTAACCAGCAGGAAAAAAAAACAACAATCCCACAGACTCAACTACTTTATTAAATAATGAGCAATGTTCTTAACAAGGAGTGACCCCTAAAAGCAGTACAATACTTATCGTTAATAAACTTAATTAAGCCCACCACAGTCTATATCCCAGCTCAGTTCACCACTGACAAAATCTCACTGCTGTCTCCAAAGTTTCTTGAAATGAGCAATCTTCTGCATTAACACCCTCTCAGTATAGCTTTTAAAACAGTTGTAGCTCTGACAACAACAACTACTCCCACTACTGCATCAGTGAGTCTTTATATATCTTCACAAAGTGTTCTGGAACATTTCAGAAGCTTACATAGGAACTATTTTAGTAGTAGTACATAAGTGCGTGACTTGAGATGGAAAGTTCTTTGGTATGCAATTCAGCATGACTAAGCAGTCTGGAGATTTCTAGCAGCTTATATTTTAAAAATTACTCATAGCAGTAATTTTCCCAATTTTCACACCCAGAGTATTGGTACTCTCCCTCCCCTCCCCCCTCCCCCGACATGGGAAGCCAGTCCATCTCATGCTACCCGTCCACCTCCTTGGCAGCATCTCTTCGTGTTTTGCCAATCCCTTGATTGTATCCATTTTTACTCTTAAAACTTTTCCGCACCAGCGGACAAAACTAGAATTGTCCCAACAAAAGGACAAATTTTGTCAAATTTTAAAGCCATCAGACTCCGTCAGCGTCTGATCTGTTCATATGACTGGCCAGCATAGTTGCCAAAGGATTCCACCTTCAATTTCCAGGATTTATTCTGAGTCATCTTAAAATTTTAGAATCCCTGAGTGTGGCAAGAAAACACAGTTTTTGCCTTTCTAGCTAACTGATTTCAGTTCAATAAGCTTTACTAAAAATGATCGACTTGTTTATTTGGTCGATTTTGTCCACTTTTTTCCTGGGACAAATTTTTCGGCAGTGCGTTTCTGGCCAGTGAGAAAGTCTGATGTTGCTTACTCAAAAAAATGTTTTCCTTTCTTTAGGTGACTGAGGCTATGAGAGAAGTGATTGGTCAACTGGGCTTGCTAGTAAATGAGTTCGATCATCCATTCTATCCTCATCCTGAGTCCCTCAAATCATACAAAAAGGTGAAAATTACATGTGTTGACAGTTTCACTGCTAAGCAACAGCTGCAAAAGAAGAATAATCTGAAATTTAATAATTTATCACTGATTTTGTTAACAGGAGCTGTACTATCACCTCAAGAGGGGCTTGGAAAGGAATATGACGGCTTGTTGTTCTAATTCTCAAATTCAAGTGATTTTTGAGGAACTAGAAAAAATTGAAGGTCAGTGTTCAGGAACTACTCTATGTTACATGGATGATGTGTGAATATGCATGTGTACGTAAGCGAAAAAAATTCTTGAATGAGTATACAAGTGTATTGCCGGAATTATCTGGTGAAGTACCTTTGAAAAACAGCTTGCATCAGTTTACACTTCCACGCCATCCGCCACTTTGATCTTTCTGATCGTAAGTCACGCTTGTTTTGCACGAGGATTTTGATAGCTCATTGTCAAACCTGTCAATCAATGTCATCATGCTGCACCAATCAGAAGTGCCATATGTGGGCAAATAGATTTTTCAAAAGCTAGGATTCGCTTGCGAGCCTTCCTTCCTCTCTCCAACCCACCTCCATCCTGCGACCTTTCTACTCTCATCCCGCCACTTGTAGCGCAGTTAGGATATGAAAAAGTTCTTCTTTCGTACTGGAACGCTTGTAACGGAGGATTTGCTCTAGGGTTGCAAAATAACTGAGGTAGAGTAATAACTAATGGTACGTCACTAAGTCACTCATATGGTAGGGAAAAATAAAGGGGGGAGGGGAGGAAGCATCAGAGAGACAAGAGTCCTTAGGGACCAGTTCATAATTTTGGCCGTGGAGGGGGGATTTAGGGGAGGGTCAAATTGTTTTCAGGAGGGAGGGAGTCAGTCGTCAATGGCAGAGTGTAAGGTGGGAATGTAGAAAATTGACTGCCAACACCAATTTACCACAGTTTATCGCAATACAACCGACTTCCTCCAACCCCCACCCCCACCCCCCCCCACCCCCACCCCCACCCCCCACCCCACCCCACTGACGTCAACCTTCACGAAGCTTGAGTCTCTGGTTCAGATAGAAATGGAAAATTTGGAAGAAAACATCATCAAACTGGATAAAGAAATAACAAGACTTGAGGAAATCAAAAACAAATCGATAACATTAAGGTAATTCTGTGCTACGTATCGGCAATTAATTAATGACAACAGCTGGAGGGAAGGGAAAAAAACTAATAGTGAAATGGGGGTGGTGTGGAGAAAAATGATTTTCTTCTGAACTCAAATGTATCATTACCCTCCGTCTTCACATTGGGTTGTCATTCTCTCTCGCTGAAGGGAACAAGGTGGCATGGATAAGGGATTATCCACGGCTTCTTAGACTAGTACTCCCAAGAAAGGATGTTGTGAAAATGAAAGGAGGGGGTTGGGAGGGGAGGGGAGGGGAGGGAAGGGAAGGAGTGAGAATTACCCCTTGCCCCTTCATAGACCACCATTTCATCTTAGGAAATATTTTTTTTATCAAGGGGAAGGGGATTTTGGGGATTGGGGGATTAGCCTCTACCCCCCTTCACAGACAACCTCGTCATCCTAAGAAATGGGAGTATCGTTTGTAAACAGAAGCATGGGGAGAGTGCAGCACCAGAAGTTCTAAGTGAGCTCGTTTTCTGTCCTTAGGAACGAAGCAAGTCGGTTGGAAAGCGAACTGTCCCAATTCATCACCGAGTTTGGTTTGGAAAAGAGCAAGATTTGAAATGATGACTTCTTGAAATCCAAAGACTTCTGAAAATCAAGTCTATAGCTCGCGTAACTGGAAAGTTTTGGTTGGTCAAAGAAGATTTATGCGGCCGACCAGTAATTTATTTTTTCACGTTCCCCTTGTGACTTCACCGCTCATTCGCGCAGTTCTGTCACCCAAAACTGCCACAAAACTGTTAGTTATGCAGGCTTTATCATCCCTATCTTCTTAGTTTATTTTTCATGGCCATGAAGCGTGTAGATCTACTTAAAAAAAGCTTTCCATTCAGTAAAAAAAACAACCAAACAAAAAAAAAACACGCTACATGGCTTAGGTGTTACGAATGTTTTTCGAAGTGGTTTCTCTTTTCTACATGATGTAAGAGAGGACTTCTCTAAGAGTTCTTCGAGAGTTTGGTGGCTCTGTCTGAGGTTCTTTTCACTGTCAGTATGTTTTAGAGGTTGTTAAGAAATGCCGGTTAAAATTATTAGTCAAAAGGTAGTATCTATCAGCTGATACAGGTCACATCCAGAGGCATGCAATGCGAATTATTTTTCCTGACTAAAGTACACAGATGCTTACCCTACAAAACATAATCAGATTTGAATCGGTTTATCTTATTTTAAGAAATTTATTAAAAATACGAATGGACAGTTTACGACTGTTAGGACGCTCAAGTGTTCTTGTCTTTTTACGTCCGGCAGACGGACTGAAAAATTACAGATTGGTCAGTCTTTGTTGTGTTCGTAACTAATGAGATTAAAGGGTAATTTTGTGTTATCAACTAAGTTGACAACTTAAAATTAATTGTTTGAAATAAACAGAAGTGTCTTAATAATGTCTTAATAGGAACGGTTTATCTCATTTTAAGAGATTTACAAGAGATTTGAAATACAAATGGACAATTAATGACTGGGACACTTATATGTTTCCGTCTTTTTACGTCCGAAAAAAGTGGTTTAAGAAGTGGTTTAATTGTCTTTAGGAGAACGATTCATCTTATTTTAAAAGATTTATTCATAATACAAATGGACAAGTAGCCTTTGGGGAAATGAAATATTAAAAAAAAAGTGGTTTATACTATTCAGAAACTGTCTAGCCAACCTTGTTGAACCAGGAGCCCATTCGATAAAAACGCGAGTGGCCAAATGTTTACTGAAATGGTTCAGTGTCGAAAATGACAGTCAAGTCTTCAATGGAGCAGCGTGCTGTGACATTCATTGGAGTGGTTTAGCAAGAGGACGGGAACGTCATTTCAGAACGGCGCGCGCAGCAAAAATATCGATAAGAAACTGGGTCGAGAACGCCGTCGCGTTGTGGTGAATTGTCATGCCAAACGGTCCAACTAGCTTCACTCTGGTTCAATGACTTGACACAAACGGTTCAGAGTAATGCGAAATGGCACTGGAATGGTTAAGTATCGCATCTGTATGGTTTAGCGTGACGTCAAATGGTTAAGTACAAAGCGAGAGGGTTTAATTTGTATTACAGTAATTGGTTGATCGTCGTAACCGCCATAATTGAAATGGAATAGTTCGTGTGGGGTCTTACGTCTGAAGCCTTACGTCATTCAGATCGAATTTAGCGCGAAATTCGCAAGAACGAGGTGTACACCGCGCCGTCCACTCGAGGTACAACAAAGGGAAAAATTATTTCTGTAGCCTTGTCTACAAGACTCGGCGAACCTTATTCTTGTAAGAATCTTTTTTGGTGTGTTTGCCTACTTCAGCTTGTTAGCGGATAAATTTATACCTCAATCATCTTGTCACAATGTCAGTAAGTTAATTGTTTCTGATGAACCGTTCTTAACGAGCTGCTGAACGTTCATAGCTTAATGATCAGTTTGTGAAAATGAAAGTAAGTTTAAGCTTATATTTCACAATAATACATTTTCCTATCGTCTCAAACCATATATTTTTTTCGTGGGCCATTTGATAAAACCTGCAGTTAAGCGTCGACCTCGCGTTTGCATTAGTACTTGAGCTTTTAGAGGATATTTTTTGGTCGATCTTCTCTTCGATTTTTATCTTGTGCATAAGTTATTTAACACGGTTGTTTCCACTGCAAGGCTGGGCCAATTCACGCCGAAAAAAAGTCGCGACAAAAACAGTCGCAAAAAAAAGGGACTTAAAACAGTCGGGAAAAAAATTGTAAAAACAGTCACGAAAAAAAAGGGAATGTGAAAACAGTCGCGAAAAAAAGGGACCGTAAAAAAAGTCGCGAAAAAAAGAGACTGTAAATAGTTACAAGAAAGCGCGTGCACCTACAGGCTTTACGATGTGCCCCAGTTTTCTTCTTCCCTGGGGGCGCTTTAACTTTTCATCAAGCCCGTGCACCAACCGGCTTTACAAACAGGTTTTACAGTGTGCCTTCGCGCATTCGTGAAATTTGCTTTGGAGTTCGAGGTTCGAGTATTATTTGAATATGAACTATGGCGAACGTGCTTTCCAGAGGAGGGTCGTGTTGTTAGAGAAAAGAAGAAATGCTGTTCCTGTAAATGCAGAGATGAGCAGATTCGTTAACGCCAGGCGGGTGATGAACACCGCCTTTACCAAAAATCACACTGCCTCTCCGATTGGCGACGTACTTTGAAGCACTTTTCCTTCTTTGGCTGGAAAATACTTGAGTGGATGCGTCGTAGCCTTGTCACTCTTGTGACAAGGCTAAGTCGCCATGTGAAGTTTCTATTTAATTGATGATGCCTACCGATAATTGTCCTAAAATGTTCATACAAGTGCCGCGACACTTGGGGGAGACTGACGAGACTATTCTTCTCCTGACCAGGGACCAGGCTCTTTTAGAGCCGCAACGCTTGGGGGAGATTGATAAGAATATTCTCCTCTTGGCAAATGAAGAGGCTCTGGTAGAGTCAAGACACTGGGAGAGTTTTTCAAGACTGTTCACCGCTATAGCAGGGAAAAGGCTTACAGCAAAATTCGCAATTATATGTCGCATTTCTTAAATCGCCACACTCCCAGGATGCTTATGTTTCCAACTAGTGATATGGACCTTGACTAGAAGCAAAGAGGAGGTCGGACTCTGATTTCAGGTTCACCCATTTCTTCAGTCCATACTACAAATGGGAACCCTGTGTACAAGGTATTATGTCTTTCATCTTTAAATGATGTCACAGTGCCAGCCGCTCCAAAATCACCCTTGAGATACAAAAAAAAAAAGGAAAAAAAAAAAGAAATGTACATGTCCAAGAATAATTCACGGCCATGTTTTTCAAAGCTGGGTTAAGATAACCCGGGGTTACTATGGAATCTGAATTCAGATTTAAAAGCTTTAAAAGAAAATTCAGTAGGGCTACTTATGTATACAATTTGATGATTGGATGCCCTGAAAAGAATAAAGAAAATTATCCGAAAAAGGCTTTGGAGCAAAGGAATAAGAAACCTAGATTAAAATTTAAACCAAGGTTTGTGCTTAGATGAGGCTTCGAACAACTGGATCCAGGTAGACAAATTCCTAGTACTCTTTATTGTGCCCAAAAATCATAAGTGCTGCTGAGGAGTAGTGTTTAATTTGAGCATGCAGAAAGATTTGAGGCAAGTCGCAGAGGTTTGCCTAGGATCTGGCTCAAATAATACTCAGTATCAGTGCTAGACCCCTTGCAGACCTGTTGGCCACAAGCTTTCCTCGAGGCCTCGTATCTTTCTGCAGGTGAAGAAATGCCTATGCTAAAGCACTAAAAATGAAGGTCTGCTCACAAGCTAACAATTCATTTCTGCTATAAAACCTCATTCCTTGCCAAACGTTGACCTTAAGGTTATAGTATGGTTTAGCTCAGATTTTGTGTTTTATTGTTAATTACAAATAATCAAACAGTAACAAAACTTGTCACTGCATTACCTTTTTGTTGATAGCAATCAAGGCCATTTCAAATGGTTTAGTAGCTGTTCTTGCTTTTTGCTGGGCTTCTTTGATCACTAACTCACAAGATTCTTGTGGAGAATGGCCCTGGTTGAAATAAAGTGCTAATTGTGATTCACTTAGCTGGGGAAAGGGAGAGATTATCCCCTTAACTCCCAAGATCTGATTCTTAACCCTCCCTATATTTGTCACACATTTCCTTGTAAATTAGTACCAAGAATTTGGTGGTAGATCAAGACAAAAACTTTTAACTGATGAGGTTAGGTATTCTCATTACCTGCTTGCTGGATAATGCATGGATATTATATAGAGAAGTTACATGTTAATCACTTCTGAGAGTTTAAGGGTTAAAGAATGGGAAATTTATTATGATATGAAAAGAATTCCTAATTTGGTGAAGTTACATCTAGTTATAGTTACAAGTCTTAGATTTCTTGTATTCACATTCATTGTGTCAGATCACAGACTGCTCTTTACTTTTTTCAATGGTGACACTATTGGGAATCAACCTCATCATGCAAAGTTGATGTGCATAATTGAATAAAGCTCATGACAGAATTTTGAAAAAATATGAGACCTCAGGACCAAAATTAATTAAATGCAGTCATTTACAGGAGATTTCAGGACTCATTGTGAGTGGTGCAAGATTATAAATTGGCAAGATTCTGGGTTTTTTAGGGGTAGTTCAATTCACACCCTTTGTGTACTGGAAGAGGCATCTGAGCAAAGCCAAGAGTAGGGAGTACCTGGCTCACAACCCAGAGGTCCCAAGGTCAAGTATTCCAATGATGCATTTGTAAATAACAATTCACTATATAGCCATGGGTCTCTCTTTATTCCATAGAGCTCTGAAGTTGTAATTGTTGATTTGCACAGTGTCACTAGCGTTAGTACTAAAAACTCTCCCTGTTGTGGATAACAAGCTTACCAATCAGGATGTTTTCTGTCAAGTAAAACAGTTCCAGGCCATATTGGTTTTGGATTACTACTTTCTTCAATTCTATATTAGAAAATACAAATCAACTTGCCTGCCTCATGAGTTGAACAACATGAAAAGCAGGACAGAATCTCATCATTTTGTCACCATCCCCAGTAGCTGCAAATCAAATTAAGACAGTTACATGTAGCAGTCTCTAATCTGCGTCTTAAATTCATTTCAAGCAATACTGCTCCATTTAATTTTGCAGGACTTATAAGCAGACTGGAAACACCTTCAAAAACCAGATCAAAAATCAGAAAGACACCATATTTAAAATCAAGCAAAAGGTGTGTCCTGACCATCTCAAAACAAACCTGCTGCTGCTCCAATCTGAAAAATAGAAAAAGAAAAGTTTGGAATATTTATCTCAACCAGCAGAAGATATGCATATTCAGATATAAGAAGCCAGCATGCACAACAAGTTGAAAATATATTCCAGTTTCATGCTACCCCTTTTTTTAACTGCTACAATTTGTTACACTGTAGAATGCTCGCAATTTACTCACCTCGTTATCAGCATATAATCCTGACCCTGGGAGAGGTGAATCTCCAACCCTGCCTGGGTGTTTGAAGGCAATTCCACTTGAAGAAACACCTGTGGAAATAAAATGCACTTGAACATTTTAAAAATATCATAATAAACACTTAAAAACTGTATTTCAGATCAGCAAAACTTTTTCCAGTAATTACATAATCAACTTTTCCAAAATACAGTGTACAAATAAGTTTGATATTGACTTTAAAATAATTCACATCCTACTATTTCACTGCATGTTACAAAGTTACCTGCAACAAGATGGCTCCTTGAGTCCATGACCAAAATGCCTTTCAAAGAAAACAAAACATATTACTATTAACAGGCATTGATCAGCACATAGCTCAAGTTTCCACAAATTTCTTACAGATCTAACAAATATCTTCCTCACAAAAACAAACAAAATGACACAGCCACTGAATGAAAATCAACTTTTTATGTCCACTGTTACAAGGGTGAACTGTAATTTGGAGTGTTACATGATTGTAGTTTTGTAAAAAAAAAAGGGGAGGGGGAGGGGGGGGAAACCAGAGAATGTGGAAAAAAACCAGTGGAGCAAGGACTAGAAACCACTAAAAAGTGGTACTAAAGCATACTACCTTGTCTAGAAATAAAACTGAATTCAAGCACTGTGAGATTTAACCAAAAGGGGGCAGGGAAAAACCTAAACAAATCAACAAAAGAAATAAAATGTGCCATTTAATCAAAAGAAGAATTTACTCAAAACCTTAATCAAAAGCTGCAACTCCTCACCTATGGTATCATGGCCTCCTTCTTCTTCACCTGACTTCTCAAGAAATTTCTACTAAGGATAGACAAATGTTGATGGTTATCATAAGTTTACAAGGATCATTATTTTCAGCACATTGGTAAGGCTTAGAATGACTAAGGAAAAACTGCTTAACACATTGTAACTCCCATGTATGATAAAGACAGAATTTCTCCTTACAATACCAATACAATATCAAGCAGGCAAGTGATAAGAACAAAGAAATTGTCAATTAGGGGTTTAATTGTATAAGTTAATCAAATACTAAATTCTCCCTACTAACAAACAAAGAATTACATGCCAGAATGTAAGGAGAATTACTAATGAGATCTTGGGAGTTACAAAGTTAAACCAGGATTCATAGTTGCCTGTGTCAGCATAGCTTATTCATTCTACTGAGTGACAGTTGACTGTAGTGTCAGTGATTCAAGGAAAAATCATTGTTTAAGTATCATAACCCAGCCCTCCTGTGATTGTAAACTGCAGTTTACTAATACAGAAGGGTTCAGCCAGCTACATCTATTTGTAATAACTTATCAACACTTGCGGGGCAGGAAAAAAACAATACAGATCAACTGTTTAACCCTTTAACTCCCAAGATCTGAATATGAATTCTCCCCTCAAGTTACATATATTTCTTCACAATTCATTTACAAGAACTTGGTGTTAAACCAAGTTAAACCAAGATAAAAACCTCTACCTTACAAGTATGGGTATTAGTATTACCTGTAGGTTAGATTATGTATTGACATTGTAGGTATATACAGTCAGATAGAGGTTATATGAATCACTTCTGGGAGTTGAAGGATTAAATAATTTTCTGTTACTAGAAAAATGTCTACTGCAATACAAAACTCCTTCCTTAACGCTTTACACCCTGACATCAGTATGTATATTCTCCACATTATTCTCTTTACATTTCTTAAGTTGCAGACAAGGAGAATTTGTTAAACAATCAATAGCTTCTTTAATTGATGATCAATCCCTCAGTTCTCATGACCTTAATGTTTGATTCAGGGATGACATTGTAATGAGAAAAAAGATGCTGGTCAGTCTTTGTGGTTTAAGGGTTGAAAATTTCAAAAGTTTGGCACACCTGAAATGCTTCTCTTGACTGCTGTGTCTGTAAAGCTGAATTTGATTCCACAGGGAACCCATTACTCTGAGCAAACTCCTGTGCACCGCTTCCCACAAGCATACTATGAGGTGACTTTTCCATCACACATCTTGCAACAGAGAAAGCAGTCGCAACTCTAAAGAAAATTAATCAAAAGGTTAAGTGGAGATTAATTGTCAGTTAAACTGTCCTCAAAAGTGTTTTCTTTTCCATTTCCTGACCAACCAACTTTCTTTGAAAAAAGCATAGAAATAAAAGAGAAAAAATTTCCAGATAGAATGTTTAACAAAATAAAGGCATCAGGAAACAAAACATTTAATAAAGATGGCTTTGCTGATTACAATCAATTGATATCACCTGCCAACAATCATCATTCTTTAACCCTTTAAAGGGACCAACACGAATTTGACCTCACTCAATACAATAACAAGCAGAAAAGTGATGAAAGTAAAGTAATATCCAATGCCAAATTCTCCAAACTAACAACACAAGAATTGTATGGCAGACACCAAGGAGAATTACTTATGAGGTCTTGGGAGTGAATGAGTTAAAGATTGCCCGGAGGTAATTATTAAACTTTCATGTACTTATCAATGGGGAATAAGAAGCGGGAAAAAGGATGAGAAAATTGACTCTCCAAAGCCTGAAAATATCAATCACCCCTCCTCCAATCCTGAGGAAAACTAGTGCTAATACCCTTGCAAAGCAGCAACTGCTCCAAAACGACACGTATCTCCATCCATGACTGCCGCATCACACTCCAAAATACCCTTAGAGTTAGGTAATCCTCCTCTACCAACAAAATAGAGACCTGTGTCAGGATCTTCTTCAATCACTAAAAAGAAAAAAATTCCTTGTGAGCGCAACTAGATTACTACGTTAAAATAATTGATATTTTCTGCAGCATGACAAAAAACTTGCAAAAAAGTTTGCAACCAAATTACAATTGATTCCACTTTCCAGTGCATCAATACATCCGTTCCCTTCTCGTAGCTTTCTAGAGATCAATTTCACCGCTTCTAAGCTAAATGGCCAAGTGCCCACAACAACCGCCATCTTGACCGTGCATCATCTCGTAAACTGGAAACGAAACCCATCCGCTGGCCAGGAGCAGACGCGCAAGGAAAAAGCTGCTTTGGAGTAAATCCGTCATGTATGGGGAATTATTATCCCCACAACATATATGTCCTATACTTAACTTAAAAGAATTCCCAATCCAAGACCCCCGAAACTGAGACCGATGACCTTAGACACGAAATCGAACACCCGAAGCAAGCTCTGTTTTTTTCAGCACAAGGACAACTGGGGAAATTTGGAAGAGCACTAGTTTTTCGAAAATAAATTAAGAAAGCAACAAATAGGAAAGCGAACTCCGATTTAACGTTTGATGTAATTATCGGCAATTTCGCTTTTGTTCAACTGATAAATGATCACGTTGCGAACGGAGAGGTTGTCAACCTTTTTTAAAACTGGCTTTTTTCCGTGAAGCCATAAAGCGTGACGCAAGCTTCCTGAAGGAGTCTTCGTTTGATTTGCGAGTCTTCGTTTAATTTTCGGGTCTTCGTTTTCGGGTCTCAGGTCTTAGCTTTCGGGGGTCTCCGTTTTCGCTACGACCATAATATAATATCGTAGAGAGGTTAAAGAGTTCGGAAAACCAAAACTCACCGGAACAATGGGGATCGAATTCCACCAATCGCTTACAAATGGTAACACGTAAACTGCCGACCCCATCGCCTGATGAAGACTAGCAGTAAGCAGTCGAAACGTCGCGATCTACATCTCAAGTGACTACATCGAATTGTTTGGGTTATTTTGCTTCTCTGGTAGCGATTTCAGGCCATTTCGTTGCGTTTTAGCTGAGATCTCATCCCACTACTACCTGTATTAAGACAGGCAGGCAGCAGTGAGGAGAGAGCTCTGCTGAAACTCGACGATGACAACAATGTTAACAATGCATGTGGAAATATTTTGTCACGCAGCATAAGCGCTTTCAATTCTTGTTTTTAGATTATTTTTGTGCATCTATTTGGCAACCATTTGGTCATGTTTTACAGATTTAAGGCATCTCACGTACGTAACAATTGGGTTTTTATAAGCTTGAGATTTCCGTGCGTGATAGTTAGTTTGCTTGTGCTTTCGCCATCATCAACTATTAAGTGGGTGTTAATTCAAATGATGATTCTGACGGAGGATTGCTATAAGATGCTTTGACAGTGGACAGTCAATTTTTTTTCGATTTCGACGGTTGACGGTCAAATCTCATGATATCGATGTGCTCATAATTTAATCACTTCGTAGTTGTAAGTTAAAGTCCCAGACCTTAAATATATTCAATAAACGAACATCTTTAGACGCATGATATCTTGGAGGTCTAAAATAATTGTAGTGAGATCCTCTCTCATCCCCATGATTCTTATCACCTTTCCAGGTCTTAATTCCGGCTCTTTCGCGTGTTTATAAGAAATGCAACATTCTAAAACCACACTCCAATACGTGGCATGATTATGTTACCTTCACAAATTTATTATTCAAAATGCCTCTCGACGCAAATTAGGTGCCATGAATCTCTAAGGTTGTTAAATGATCTTTTTTGTTTCTTAAAAAGTTTCCCCTTTTTCTGATCTAAATTAGGAATTCTTAAAAAAAAAAAGAATATACCTCCATCATTTTCTTGGAAATGTATGTGAGGAAGGTGAGAATGAAATTCAGTTTTCAGCATAAGTCCAAATTAACGTTTTCCTTTTTACTGACAGTACTTCTCATCCTTTCATGTCAAATTTATGAATGTGGCAGTGTAATTTCATTTTTAATTCAGATCCGTAAATAAAAGAGGGGCAGACAAACAAAAACATAGATAAATAAAACAACAAAAGAAAAAAAAATGATTTCACAAGTGATTTGTGTAACCATGACGGCACGATGTTTCATTTACCAATCTTCTGCACGATTCCATTGTCGGCACTTACTATTCGGCCAGATAAGTCAGACATGATACTTTTAAACAAGATCCAAGCAGTATGGAAGTGTTTATTCATTTTTTCTATCCTTGTGATGGCTACTTTAATCTCTACCACGTGGAAATTTGACTTTGCTAAAAGCCCAAACAAAGAGAAAGCTACGCAAGACCTCCAACTTTCAGATAGTGTTGTTTGGGTTATTATTGTTCTCTGGTAGCGATTTCAGGCCATTTCGTTGCATTTTAGCTGAGATCTCATCCCACTACTACCTGTACTAAGGCAGGCAGCCGGTAGTGGGATGAAAGTTCAGCTGAAACTCGACGATAAATGATATATGATAGATTTGGAATTATCTTGTCACGCTGTGTAAGCGATTTCAGATTGATTTTTGTGCATCTGTTTGGCTACCATTGGGCCATTTTTTGAAGATTTCAGGCATCTCACGTAACAATTGGATTTTTATGAGCTTGAGATTTCCGTGCGTGATAGTTGCTTCTGCTTTCACCATCATGAACTATTAAGCGGGTGTTAATTCAAATGATGATTTTAACGGAGGGTAGCTAAAACATGCTTTGACGGTTGACGGTCAAATTTTAGGCCCTTAGACGGCTGACGATCAAGTGTTAGGTCCTTTGACAGTTGACAGTCAAATCTCATGATTTGCTCATAATTGAACTGTTTATTAGTTGTAAGTTAAAGTCCCAGACCTTAAATCTATTTGAGAAATGAAAATCTTCAGACGCATGATGCCTTGGAGGTCTAACAAAATTGTAGTAAGATCCTCTCTCATCACCACGGTCAACAATATGTCAACAATAGAAGTGGAAATATTTTGGCACGATTTTAATTGTTGTCTTTAGATCATCTAAATCAAATGTTTGGCTGCCATTGAGTGAGTTACACAAATAATTCTTACGACGCTTTTTCTTCGTTTGGGCTTTTAGCATCAAACTAAAGTAATGGGGGGCGGGGAAGAATAGGTTAAGTGAACAAGGGTAAAGAGATTAAACTGAAGTAATGGGGGGGAGGGGGAGAATAGGTTAAGTTAACAAGGGCAAAAGAGATCAAATTGAAGTAAAAGGGGGTTGAAAGGGCCAATGTGTGAACAGTTTTGTCGCTGGTTGTTGGTACCTTACGCCAAGCGTACCAGGCTCAGCAAAGTTCCTACAAGGTTCACTGATTGAGCCATTTTCTCACAGTTTGAGTTGCTTTTCTATTTTGGAAAGGGATAGTTAATATTTTTTTCCTCTACTCACGAGTTTAAAAACGTCTGTTCAAGCGTCAAGCTATTTCATGACAAAATGACTCGCACTGAGTCCTCAGAGAGTAACTAATTCAAAGCTTGAAACGTGTCAATCTATGTTAAATGTTGTCCTTTTATCTTCCTCTCTTACAAAGTGTGCAAACGGCACAATTTCCTCGTGACGGGTTACATTCATGCAGTAAGTTTGTGATTTTCTCGTGTATAATCGTGGATCCTTCTTAAATTCCCTAAGTAAACTGTGATTTGCAAATCGCTCAGGGACATCTCTTTTTACATCTTTAATGAATTCTCTCCAGGCTTTGTTTGTTCCCGTATGAGACCTCGGGTATGGGCGATGCAGAGGATTGTAGACTGTTACAGGAAAGAACAACAACGCTTGCCCACGAAACTTTATCTCTACGACAGAACAAAGATATTTATCTGTGAACCACCAACTAACTTGTTCAAATCGTGTATCCAGCGGAAATATGTGGACGACCGCTTTTGCATGAAAGGCATTAATAACAGGATCGAAATATATGATCGGACTTGTAACCGAAGTGTGGTTTACAAGGTTCTTATTGCAAATCTTCCAGTTTAGTTGGATTAAAGATTTCGCTGGATTGTTCGAATAGTCCATTACACCAACTGCAGGCTCGTAATCCAGAAGCCAGTTTTGGAAAGCTTGGATTGGACTGAGTTGTCTCATTGCTGGAGTTGCTCTTTTGTTGAATTTCAGGGAGATGTCATCGTCAAGAAATATGTAATACACGTAATTGGTGTTTCTCTCTAAAGCGTGGAAGAAAAGCCTGTTACGACCGGATCCCCACGTGGTTGTGTTGTCAAACAAGTAGGTGAAGTGAGCTGGGCGATATTCTCGGCACTCTGCTTTATAACTTAAAACAACAACGTCACAGCGACATTTTGAACGGTTGCCTAAATCCAGATTTAAAGTGACATTCTTTCGAAGACATCTTTCGGTTTGAGTAAGATAGAGAAATGATTCTTGCGTCGCTTTCACTTGGTTTGGGGTTTTAGCAGAGTCGAATTTCCACGTGGTAAAGATTAAAGTAGCCATCACGAGGGTAGAGAAAATGAATAAACACTTCCATGCTGCTTGGATCTTGTTTAAAAGTATCATGTCTGACTTATCTGGCTGAATAGTAAGGGCCGACAGAAGAATCATGTAAGAGATTGGTAAATAGAACAAGGAGCCGTCATGGTTACACAAATCGCTTGTAAAATCTTTCTTTTTATGTTTTGTTTTAATTATTTATTTATTTTGTGTTTGTCTTTCCCCCTCCCGCCTGTTATTAACGGATCTGAATGAAAATAAAATTTCCCTGACACATTCATAAATTTGATATGAAAGGTTGGGAAGTATTGCCAGTAAAAAGGAAAATCTTAATTTGTACTCATGTTTTAAACTGAATATCATTCTCACCTTTCCTCACATACATTTTCAAGAAAATAATGGAGGTATATATATTTTTTTCAAGAATTCCCAACTTGGATCAATAAAGGGGGAATCTTTTTATGAAACAAAGAAGATCATTTAACAATCTTAGAGATTCGTGACACCTAATTTGCATCGAGAGGTATTTTGAATAATGAATTTGTGAAGGTAACATAATCATGCCACGTATTGGAGTGTGGTTTTAGAATGTTGCATTTCTTATAAACACGTTAAAGAGCCGGAATTAAGACCTGGAAAGATGATAAGATTCTTGGTGATGAGAGAGGATCTTACTAAAATTTTTTTAGACCTCTAAGGTATCATGCGTCTAAAAATTATACTTTATAGAATATATTTAAGGTCTGGGACTTTAACTTACAACTAACAAACAGTTCAATTATGAGCACATCATGAGATTTGACCGTCAACCGTCAAAGCATGTTTTAGCTACCCTCCCGCCTAATAGTTGATGATGGTGAACAAGAAGCAACCATCACGCACGGAAATCTCAAGCTCATAGGAAATCTCAAGCTCATACAAATCCAATTGTTACGTGAGATGCCTGAAATCTGTAAAACACGTCCCAATGTTTACTTAACCTATTCTCTCCCTCGCCCCCAATACTTCAGTTTGATCTCTTTTGCCCCTGTTAACTTAACCTATTCTCCCCCTCCCCCATTACCTCAGTTTAATCTCTTTTCCCCTTGTTGACTTGACCTATTCTACCCTCCCCTCCATGACTTCAGTTTGATCTCTTTTGCCCTTGTTAACTTAACCTACTCTCCCCCTCCCCCATGAATTCAGTTTGATCTCTTTTGCCCTTGTTAACTTAACCTACTCTCCCCCCCCCCCCATGACTTCAGTTTGATATCTTTTGCCCTTTTTAACTTAACCTACTCTCCCCCTCCCCCCATGACTTGTTAACTTAACCTACTCTCCCCCTCCCCATTACTTCAGTTTGATTTCTTTTACCCTTGTTTACTTAACCTACTCTCCCCCTTCCCCCCCCCATTACTTCAGTTTGATTTCTTTTACCCTTGTTTACTTAACCTATTCTCCCCTTCCCCCCCCCTCCATTACTTTAGTTTGATGCTAAAAGCCCAAACGAAGAAAAAGTGTCGCAAGAATTATTTGTGTATCTCACTCAAAACGAAAGATGTCTTTGAACGAGTCTCACACAAAGTAGGCAGTGTAAACGTCGCGATCTACATCTCAAGTGACCACCTCGTGAGACAAACGATTAAATGGGTGTTTAGGCTCCGCACTAAAACTCCATAAATAAAAAAGCAAATAAATCTTTAACTTTCAGATTGTGTTGTTTGGGTTGTTATTGGTTTCTGGTGGCGATTTCAGGCCATGTCGTTGCGTTTTCGCTAAGATCTCACCCCACTACTACCTGTACTAAGACTGGTAGCCGGTAGTGGGATGAGAGCTCAGCTGAAACTCGACGATGGCAGCAATGTCAGCAATAGATGTTGGAATACTTTGTCACGCAGCGTAAGGGCTTTCTTGTTTTTAGATTGATTTCTGTGCATCTGTTTGGCTACCATTAGACCATGTTTTACAGATTTCAGGCATCTCACGTAACAACTGGATTTCTGTGAGCTTAAGATTTCCGTGCGTGATAGCTGCTTCTGCTTTCACCATCATTAACTATTAGGCGGGTGTCAATTCAAATGATAATTTTGACGGAGGGTAGCTAAAAGGGTCAAATTTTAGGTCCTTTGACGGTTGACAGTCAAATTTTTAGGCCCTTTGACGGCTGACGGTCAAATCTCATGATGTGCTCATAATTGAACTCTTTATTAATTGTAAGTCCAAGACCTTAAATATATTCGATATAGGAAAATTTTTAGACACAATACCTTGGAGGTCTAAATAAACTGTAGTAAGATCCTTTCTCATCACTACAATTCTTATCATCATATATTTCCAGGTCTTAATTCCGGCTCTTTCACGTGTTTATAAGAACTGCAACACTCTAAAACCACAAATTTATTATTCAAAATGCCCCTCGATGCAAATTAGGTGCCACGAATCTCTAAGGTTGTTAAATGATCTTCTTCGTTTCTTAAAAAGTTTCCCCTTTCATTGATTCAAACTAGGAATTCTTGAAAAAAAAAGAATATACCTCCATTATTTTATTGAAAATGTATGTGAGGAAAAGTGAGAGTGATCTAAGTTCAGTTCTAAGCATGAGTGCAAATTAACGTGTTCCTTTTCACTGACAATACTTCTCATCCTTTCATATAAAATTTATGAGTGTGGCAGTGAAATTTAATGTTTAGTCAGATCCGTAAATAACAGGGGAGTGGGGGGAAAGACAAACAAAAAAAAAAACAATAATTAAACAACAAAAGAAAAAAAAGAAAGATTTTACAAGCGATTTGTGTAACCATGACGGCTCCATGTTTCATTTACCAACTTTCTGTACGATTCTACTGTCGGCACTTACTATTCGGCCAGATAAGTCAGACATGATACTTTTAAACAAGATCCAAGCAGTATGGAAGTGTTTATTCATTTTTTTCTATCCTCCTGATGGCTACTTTAATCTTTAACACGTGGAAATTTGACTCTTTCAAAAGCCCAAACGAAGACAAAACGACGCAAGAATTATTTGTGTAGCTAACTCAAACCGAAGGATGTCTTTAATTGAACGAGTCTCACACTAAGTACGCAGTGGAAACGTCGCGGTCTACAACTCAAGTAACTACATCGTGAGACAAACGATTAAACAGATGATTATTATATAACCATGATTTAAAATTATAAAGCTTTGTATGGGAGTTTAGGCTCCCCACTGGAACTATATAAATTATAAAACAAATGAATTCTAACCTTCATATAGTCTTGTTTGGGTTTTTTTTTCCTCTGGTTGCGTTTTAGCTGAGATCTCTTCCCACTACTACCTGTACTAAGATACGCAGGCAGTAGTGGGGAGAGAACTCTGCTAAAACTCGACGATGGCACAATGTCAACTATAGATGTAGAAATATTTTGTCGCGCAGCGTTAGCGCTTTCAATTCTTATTTTTAGATTGATTTTCGTACATCTGTTTGGCTACCATTGGGCCATGCTTTACGGATTTCAGGCATTCCACGCACGTAACAATTGGGTTTTTATAAGCTTGAGATTTCCGTGCGTGATAGTTCCTTCTGTTTTCACCATCATTAACTATTAAGCGGGTGTTAATTCAAATGATGATTTTAACGGAGGGTAGCTAAAAGATGTTTTGACGGTTGACGGTCAAATGTTAGGTCCTTTAACGGCTGACGGTCAAATCTCATAGTGTGCTTATAATTTAATTGTTTAGTAGTTGTATATTAAAGTCCCAGACCTTAAATGCATTCGATAAATGAAAATCTTTAGACACATGATACCATGGAGGTCTAAAAAAGTTGTGATAAGATCCTCTCTCATCCCCACGATTCTTATCATCTTTCCAGGTCTTAATTCCGGCTCTTTCGCGTGTTTATAAGAAATGCAACAATCTAAAACCACACTCCAATACGTGACAAGATTATATTACCTTTACTCTAATTGAAACAAATCATCTATTATTGAAAATGCCTCTCAATGTAAATTAGGTGCTATGAATCTCTAAGGTTGTTAAATGATCTTCTTTGTTTCTTAAAATGTTTCCCCTTTTATTCATCCAAATTGGGAATACTTGAAAAAATATATATATACCTCTATCATTTTCTTGAAAATGCATGTGAAGAAAGGTAAAAATGATTTTCAGTTTTAAGCTAGAGAGCAAATTTAGGTTTCCCTTTTTATAGACAATACTTCTCAACTTTTCATATCAAATTTATGAATGTGGCAATGAAATTTCATTTTTATTCAGATCCGTGAATAACAGGGGGGAAAAGATAACCAAAACAAAAACAAAAACAACAAGAAAGGTTTTGCAGGCGATTTGTGTAACCATGACGGCTTGATGTTCCATTTACCCATCTTCTGCACGATTCTTCTGTCGACACTTACTATTCACCCATATTAGTCAGACATGATACTTTTAAACAAGATCCAAGCAGTATGGAAGTGTTTATTCATTTTTTCTATCCTCCTGATCGCTACTTTAATCTTTAGCACGTGGAAATTTGACTCAGCTAAAAGCCCAAACGAAGACAAAACGACGCAAGAATTATTTGTGTATCTAACTCAAACCGAAAGATGTCTTTGAACGAGTCTCACACTAAGTAAGCAGTGGAAACGTCGCGATCTACAACTCAAGTAACTACATCGTGAGACAAACGATTAAACAGTTTGATTACAACCATGATTTAAAATTAGAAAGCTTCGTGGGAGTTTAGGTTCTGCACTGGAACTATATAAATTATAAAGCAAATAAACTATAACCTTTACATAGTCTTACTTTTTTTTTCTCTTTTTTTTAATTTCTGTGGAAATATTTTGTCACGCTGCGTGAGCGAATTTAGATTGATTTTCATGCATCTGTTTGGTTGCCATTTGGCCATGTTTTACATGTTTCACGCATTTTAGGTACGCAACGATTGGATTTTTATGAGCTCGAGATTTCCGTGCGTGATAGTTGCTTCTGCTTCACCATCATCAAATATTAAGCGGGTGTTAATTCAAATGATGATTTTAACGGA